GCGGCGGCGGCGTTCGACGGCTTTGGCACCACCGGGAATCTCAACATCAGGAAGAGGGAGGTCGCCGCTTTCCTCGCTCAAACATCTCACGAGACCACAGGTTAATAATCATTCACTTCGAATTTACTGACTATTTTCTCTTATAATTATTGTTAAATTATAAGTTCAATTATTATTATTTTTTATTATTATTATTATTTTTTACTTCACTGTGAAAAACTTAGAAGGAAATTTGATGGATTGACCAAAAGTTTGGGTCGAGATGAAATATGACCTACTTTCAAATTACGTGCTCTCCTGATGAACATATTTTCATATAATCCCGTGCTCTCCTGATGAACATATTTTCATATAATCCCTGATGACAACATAGAGTTAAACAATCTTAATTATACAAAGTTTTTAGGTCAATCGGTCGAGATTGTTCCTGAAAATATTTTGATATGGAATCAACTCAAGAGAAAGTTTTGGAATAGATTACCTTGATGCTCAAGATTAGGAGTAGAAAAAACTTGCTTTTAAACTCGTGATTCGAGAATCACTCCACAGGTTTGATCAATACCACTCAGAGATGATTCTAGCATGCAAGTTCTAAATACAAGAATTTGCAAAGTAAAAGCTTAGTTATCAACAAAGCTAACATAGAAATTCTATTCTTTTCAATTCTGCGATGTGATGTTAGAGCAACAACATGAATGACTATTTATAATCTTGAAAATAAACCTTATAATAACGGGTCAATACCATATTGACCGCTAACTAATTATAACTTATAATTTAAAGACAGTTCTCTAAAACTTAAAAAATACAATAACACTTTTTTTAAATCTAAATCATCCCTGGCATAATTAAGACCCTTTCTTATTCTATTTGATAAAATTTTAGCGATTAACTTATATGGTTGATGTTGTATTTGTTTGATTTATTAATTTTTAAATGTGTTTAATAGGCCCTCATCGTTAATGCTAAGTTAAAAGAAACGGAATGTTTGTATAGGAGGATGGCAAACTGCACCGGATGGACCATATGCATGGGGCTATTGCTATATTAATTCAACCATCAAAGATGCTTCTTGTAGTCCTTCTACCAACTGGCCTTGTGCATCTGGGAAGCAATATTATGGCCGAGGTCCCTTCCAAATCACCTAGTAAGTTCGATGAAATTCTAGTTTTAACCAAATATTTAGATTTGTATCATTGAAAGATGGCTTTTGGTTGATTAGTAACTTCAACTATGGGGCTGCTGGAAGGGCAATAGGGGTGGACCTGATAAACAATCCTGATCTAGTGGCTACCAATCCAACCATATCATTCAAGACTGCCTTGTGGTTTTGGATGACTCCTCAAGGAAACAAACCATCGTGTCATGATGTTATGACGGGTAAATGGGTACCATCCAATGAAGATATATCAGCTAAAAGATTGCCTGGCTATGGTCTAACCATCAACTTAATCAATGTTAGTGAATGTGTTAATGGTACCGATGATCGAGCTGCAGATAGGATTGGTTTCTACAAAAGGTATTGTGACATATTGAATATCCAATATGGAGACAACTTGGATTGTGTAGGTCAACAGCCCTTCTAATGAAGAATGATTCGTAAGAAGTAGTAAGAAATGTAGGAAGGCAAAAGTAGATAGTAATTTGGAGATTATGATCCCTTTGATACTTGGTAATTTTGAATAACTGTAAACATTTTACTACTAAAGAATATTTTTCTAATTATCAAAATGAAGCGCTCAATGACAATCAGAACTAGATCTGGAACCTCTTCTCCTTCGGGCTAAAACCCTTATATATATCCAATCTTATGGTGTGCAAAAGAGCGGGTCTAGTATTCTAGGAATTGATTAAACTATAATATAAATATTTCAGAATAATATGGAATCAATGGAATGAAATAATATATCACCTAATTAATGACATGACGCATCATAAGTGGATGGAGCATGCCGTGCAAAAGCTATTAAATACTCCTTTTCATTGGAAAAGAAAACCCATGTACACGAGAAGAGACCTGTAGGACGATGGAGATGGAGAGTAATTGGGGAGTAGAATTACAAGGATGCCGACACAGCACGCGTGCAGTAATACAGACACTTGAACATTGCTTAGGCTAGCAATTGCAATCACCAAACCACAACACATGAAAGGTCGAGACTAGAGTGGAGGATTTAGGAGTGCTTTAATCTTGATGTTTGATAGATAGATGTCAAGGCATCCTGGAAGTTAGAGGGGGCATGTGCAGGACGACTTTAGAAGAATCCCCCGGAATTTGGGGTAAAGCTTTTGGCTACCTAATGAAACATATGGTTCGGTTCACAGGCACAACTAGACTCAATAATAACTTTTTCTGATACTCAAGTCTTTCAATGAAAATATATATATTATATGTATATACTTTAGTTCTTTTTCTTATAGCTTTGAGTTTTAGAGCTAAAGTATCTCCTAATTTGATGTTACTTCAAAAAAGGATTGTTAATTGTTTCTGTAATGCGTACCTTTTGAACTGTACGATCACATGTTAGATCCATGAGAGCCTTGTTTGCAATGGACATGTTCAGTGTTCTGCGATGTACATGGCCTCCTTTTTAATGTTCTGTTTTTTTGCCTCCAAGATTCTCCCCTTCCATCTTTTTTCGCGCAATCTGATGCAAAGAAATTAAGCATCATTGCCTCCTGGTTGTATCCGGCTATCTACAATGTGGGAAATGATCTTCTTTATTTACTAACAAATAACTTAATTCCAAATTTTCATTTCATGTCAGGAGAACTCTTGAAAATCCAAACAACACTCAAAAGTGTTCTTTTCTTTAACTATGATTGAAATCCTATTTCCACCACAAATTTCTATATTTATTGTGATGTTTTAGGCTTAGCCAATTTGTAAGTATTTCATTTTCCTTTCTAAGTTGCATGAACAATTATTTCAGTCCTTGCCAATTCACTAATAATTATAATCTAGATCAAACTAATCATACTCATCGAATAAATGAACCAAAAACCACATGCCATTTGTAAGAAGAATCTATCAGCACTTGTCATGGCTATATGAAACATGGGTGCCAATCCTTTGCCCCACGACAAGATTGAAGAGAAAGCAAACAAAATTTAACATTAAATTTCTGTTTCCTTTTCATTTTAGTATAAAAAAAAAGCTTCGGCATATGCATTGCACTTGCTCCTAAACGTGAGATTTGTGCAGCCTGAATTTTATATTCCAAACAAGGAGACAATTCAAAGCAAGAAATGAGCTGACCTTTCTCGGTTTTTAGAGCAAGAAAAGGACACTCCCGCCGGCCATTTCCCTGCTTCCAAGTTGCATTCATTGAAACCAACGCTCGCTGTCTCCTCCCTCTTATCTTCCCTGCAATGTGCCCCCATATATAAACAGATTCATAGAGTTTAACATCATCAAACTCAGCAGATTTCTCAAAGTTAAGTTTTCTAAAGCAACCAACAATGGCTGCTCGTTACCATTTACGATCAATCAGTCTACCCTCCAGATCCCATCCCACCACTCTCAGAATCGAAGAGCAACTGAGCAAGTTGAAGGCATTGGAGAGCTCATCTCCTTCAACCTCCAAGTCAATCTGCAATGGCCTGCAGGGACTGGACGATTTATACGCTTGTATGGACGAGCTTCTCCACATGGCTTCCACCAAACAGGTTTTATCGAGCCACCAGAACCAGGAATTGGTGGACGAATTGGTCGAAGGATTCATAAAGCTTTTAGACACCTGCGGCAAAACAAGAGACATGATATTGCAAATACAGGAACAAGCTCAAGCTCTGCAATCCGCCCTTCGTAGAAGAAAGGGAGATTTGAGCATCAGAAACGCCATCGCTAATTACACTCACCTGAGAAAGAAGATGAAAAAGGAGGCACTGAAATTGATATCATCAACCAAGCAAATGGACGAGAAAATCGGATCAAGTCATCTGATGAATCAAGATCTCCATCTCTACGCCGTGATTCGAGCTCTAAAAGAATCCTGTTTCGTTACCATTTCCATCTTCGCATCCCTCTTGTCGTTCGTCGCGATTCAATCAGTCAAATCGAAGCCAAACCGGTGGGTATTAGTCTCGAAAGTTCTGATGCGAAGGGGAACGGTAGCGAGCGAAGAAAACAACCAAATCAGCAATGAATTGGACGATGTGGATGCCGCAATAGGCACTCTCGGCAATGGCGTCGACGCCGACAATCTGCAATCGGCGCGAAGAAGCTTAGAGGGATTAGAAATGAGCATGGAAGGGTTTGAGAACGGATTGAAAGGGATTTTCCGGCAGATGATCAGAGCCAGAGCATGTCTCTTGAATTTGATTTCTCAATGAGAGGAATTGACAATTTTACCCCTCCTCCAAGGTTCCGAAGGCATCCAAATTTTGAAGGATAGCCCGGTCATTGGATTTTGGTTTTTTGTACTATATCCATTATTCTAAGTAAATACTTTTTTCTAATTATCCCTAATTTTTATTTTTAATATAATTTCAAAATTAATTTGTTTTCCAAAATTAGTTTTATCATATTTTCAAACAATCTCTCACGTAAATAAAATTAATTTAATATTAAAATATATTTACTCCGGAAGAATACCTAAACTTTCCATAGTGAAACTCCACAGATTTACTTATTGATTCGTAGGCCAGCGACTTTGAAGTTTGGCACAAATCAAAATCATAATAATTGTATTCATATATTCTTTTTAAAATACTACGTGATTGCCGTGTTTGTATTCATTTTAGCTTGAATATTACTTAAGTTACTTCCTTTTAAGAGCGTCTTGGTAACACTCCACCTGTTTTTAGGGACTAAATGGTCATTAAAAGCGTATCTTAAACTAGGAACGATTGCAAATTTATTATCCAGCATTTAGATCTTGAAATCTAACTAGGTTGGACAGGATTATGCAAACTTTTATTATAGGCTTTAAATTAAAAATGTGGATTAAAAAACTTAATAAATATAAAAAAGGAATATATACAGTTAAGCACCAAGGTTTTTTTTTTCTTTTTCTCTAATACAACCACATTTTTCAAGAGAAAAAAAAAAGAAGAAAAAAAGAAGCAAATATAAACAAGCATGTCTTGGTCTTGGGCATCCAAAATGAAAAAAGAATGTGGGCTAAACAAGATCCAAACACAAACTCATTTAAACAAAGGGCCCCCTTTCTTTAAAACGAAGAAGAAAGGAATCTAGGAAATGCACCTCATCGAGTACACGTGCGAATCAATTGAGGGTGCACCGTAAACCCTAGGATGGTCACTCTCCAGACCATAGTCCATCATCGGACGGTACTCAAGATCTTCATCATGATCGTATATGAACTCTGGAACCTCGATCTCGTTCCTCCGTACGTGCTCCCACAGCAGATCAATTCTACTCACGTACTTTATCTTCCCATACATCCTACCACATCCAAACATTCCCTCTCATTATAAACTATAACATAATATTATCAACAAAACGTCATAAAATTATTCCTACTTTTCCTTTTTAATATTTTAATTTTCTTTTTTATCATTATCCCTTTATTGGGTACGGTGTATAAAATAATGTCTTTGAGTGCATTAAAAAAATGTAAATATTTAATTAAACTTTTCAATTTTATTTCTAATACATTTATAAATTTTAAAAATACAATTACATATTAGAAAAAGAGATGAGGACAAAACAAAACTAAATTCAAAATTCAGAGTATATTTGTTATTGGATCTAATAAATTAAGATGTTTGAAATAAATTAAAAATAGTTTTTAAAAAAGAATATATGCATGAAATCAGTTTTTTCCTTAATTTAGAAAAGTACAGAAAAATGTTTTAATTTACTTATTCATAAAAATTACATTATTTTCTATGATGCAAAAAGAAAATATGGGAATAAGAATATAGGGAAAACCTGAAATTGATTGAAGAAGGGTTAGAAAATATACTCGCTAGTGAAGAAAATGCGGCCGAGTGTGGCGAGGAAGAGCCTGGCCTGGAGGTCTGGGTGAACGAAGTACACGGCCTCGAGATTAGCCTTGACGGTGGCTGGAATTGCTTCATAGATTGATCGGAGGGCGGCGATTCCGGGGAAATTTTGGCTCCTTTGAACGTCGGTGTGAAAGTACAAGATCGTAAAACGCTTGTTCTTAAGCCTAGGGAAGATCTTCTCCTCCAGATGCTTCTTCACCACATCCAAACTCACAATCCGTGCTGATTTTCAAAAAAGAACCATCAATCTCATCGCTCAAAACAGCTAGAAATTTAATCAGAGCACAGCAGTGCAAATATGCAGATACTTCTTAAGCACAGTCAAGAACAAGAAAACAGAAACAGAACAGAGCAAGAAAACCGAATCAGAGCGTAGTAAGGCAAATCTACATACGCTTCTCTGCGAAAATTCAATCTGATAAAAAAAAAAAAAAAAAGTAAATAAAAGCAGACCAGAGCAAGAAAATCAAATCAGAGCAGATTACGGAAAATTCCAGATGCTTCTTGAGCACATTCAAACGTACAGTTCGCGCGGATGACAACGAGAAAAATTTAATTTCATCCATGAAAAAAGCAAGAAAACAGAAACAGATCATGGTAAGGAAAACATACAGATGTTTCTTGAGCACATTCAAACTCAATGGTCAAAAGAAACGACAAAAAATTAATTTCATCGATAAAGAATGAGAGAGAGAGGAAACCTGGAAAGAATTTTCCGGTAATGCGGAGAATCCGGCGGCCTTGTTTGTCTCTGCCTTTAATCTTGAAGACGTCGAGGTTTTCGAGTTGGTTTTGCTCCGGCGGAGGAGGCTGAACCTGAGCGGCCATATGAGACGAATTCCAAGTAGAATCAGAAGGAAAAAGCGAGTAGCGTTGAGAGAATGGTTAGGGATAAGGAGGGAGTGAAGGGATTTTGGTGGAGAACGGAATTGGAGGATGAGATTTGGAAAATAAACGAAGAAATAAAGATGATCGGGAGAGGATTAAAAGGGACTCCAGATCATTGGGCGGAAGAGGCGAATGGCGCGGACGTGGGGGCAAAGATTTTTGTCACACAAGAATATTCGGTAGCATCTTTCCCTCCCTAGATCCAACCTCTCTCCCCCCCCCCTCATAAATTTCGCTCAGTTAAAGTTCCTCAAATTACAACTTTACCCCTATATTTTTAAACCAAAATTACATCTTTACCCCTACGTCTTTAATAAGTCCTCGACGTCAAGGATGGTTTCGTAAATCATCAAATTTATATCTCATACATATTTAAATTATGCATTTAATCTTTAATTTATTAAATATAAAACTAAATAATTTTTCAAAAAAATATATTCCAACCTATTAAACATAAAATTTAAATTTAAGAATATTAAATTAAAAAAAATAAAATTGGGAGATTCATTTGTTTTTTTTTAATTTAATTTTAATTTTTATGGACTATTGTTATTATTAATAAATATTATTTGTCATTTGATAACAACCTCCTTATTTGATAAATAAATTAGGAGATGAGCTGTCATTCTTAGCCCAAATTACGTGGAAATATATTTTTAAAAAAATCCACATCTATAATAAATATTCAGATTAAAAACAGATATTTCTCAATTAAAAATAAGACCATAAATATTAAATAATGAAAATAAGATTTAAATTTTTTATTTGAATTAAAGTTTCAATTTAGTCCGGAATATTCATTAAATTGTACAAATTACTATTAAATTATTAATTTGAATTTCTATGTGATGATGTCCCACGTTAGTTGGGAGGAGAACAAACCACCTTTTATAAGAGTGTGGAAACTTCTTCCTAGCAGACTCGTTTTAAAGCCTTGAGGGGAAGCCCGAAAGGAGAAATATAAAGAGGGCAATATCTACTAACAGTGGATTTGGATCGTTACAAATGGTATCAGAGCCAGACACCAGATGATGTACCAGCCTTCTCACCGTTCCCCGAAGGGGGTAGACATGAGGCGGTGTGCCAGTAAGGACATTGGGCCCCAAAGGAGGTGGATTTGGGGGCGGTCTCACATCGATTGGAGGAAGGAAAGAGTGCCAGCGAAAATTCTGGACCCCGAAGGAGGGTGGATTGTGATGTCCCATATTGATTGGGGAGGAGAACAAACTATCATTTATAAGGGTGTGGAAACCTTCCCCCTAACAGACCTCTTTTAAAGGTTGGAGGGAAAGCCCGAGGACAATATGGATGGTTACATTCTACTTCCACATAAAAAAATATTTTTAATTAACAAAACAAGAAAGTATCAGTGAAGTTTTGAGGGCTAAATTATAATTAAATCAATTAGAAGGACTAAATTGAAATTTTAATTAAAAAGTTTAAAGTCTCAATAATTAATTAAGCTGATCTGTGGGCGGTGGGGCCCACGAGAGTGGGACAAAAAGAAGCGATCAACTTTGAAATGTAAACCTTATCTTCAAAAAATTAAATACATTTTTTTCCTTTAATAGCGATATCTTCCAAAAAAATAAATTGTTTTATTATTTTAAAATAAAATAAGTTTTTATTATTTTATTCATTTTTTCTTTGATTAAAAAATAAATAAATAATTGTAATTCCTTTGTTGATTACTTTAATGGTATTTAAATAAAATAGATTTGGATTTCAAGTTTATCCGATAAATTTTCAGATTGACCAAAAAAAAATGTAATTAAGTATGGTTTATTGAGACAATTTATGTTACATTAAATAATTATGATTTATTTGAGTTGTTCTTAAAGAAAAATTACACTAGGCACGTATTTGAATTATTTTAAAGTATATTACTTCTATTTACCGATTTTTAAATATATTTTTTAATTAGAATATTCTATGCTATGAATATTTTTTTTTTTAATAAAAAATATTAATTTCTTTTGAATAACGGAACTTGGTTTGGGTGGGTTGTAAAACAATTTTGGGTTAGATTGGGTTACCAATCCAACCAATAGCACTTGGGTTGATCAAAAAAATTCTGGCAACCCAAACTGATCTATGTACACCACTGAGAGGGTAGGAGTTCATGTCTCAAAAACTACTTAAACTAATTTTATCAGGAAAATTATGATCTCAGCTCTGTCTCTCAAGCTCAATAAAAATCACTCTAAATAAAAAGATAGATATCATATGTAATGATCAGATCTACCGCTAACAGATATTGTCGTCTTCTTTAGGCTTTCCCTTTCGGGCTTCCCATCAAGGCTTTAAAACGGCTTTCCCTTTCGGGCTTCCCATCAAGGCTTTAAAACGCGTCTGCTAGGTTTTGGCTAACAGATATTGTCATCCAGTTTTCACTCTCTTATGGCTAACAGATATTGTCGTCCAGTTTTCACTCTCTTATAAAAGTGTTTTGTTCTCCTCCCCAACCAATGTAAGACATCGTATCATTCACATCATAAGAATTCACAATTCATGTGGGATTAATAATTTTGATCGTCTTGTAAAATATTAATATTCTTAGTTAATAATTTTGATGAAATTATTTATATAGAGTTACAAAGTTGGTGATATAATTAGTAAATTTGATGCATAATTCTATTATTATTATTATTATTATTATTATTATTATTATTATTGGAGAGAAACCGTTGGTCTTTAATTTTTCTCAAAACAAAGAAATAATTTTTGTAATTATTTTTTTTTTTGGGTTTCTTGAAATTATTAATGTGACCAAAAGATTTTAAGTTTGGTGGCAATTGGTTCCGTTCCACGATAGAGAGATCAGCTGCTGCCATCGATTCAACGTAGATTTTGGAGCTAGGGTTTCTAATTTCCATTCATTTCATTTTCCCTTCCTTCAATCCTCTTCTGTAATTCATTCCTCTTTCACTTCCGCCGGTGACCAACCTCCCGCGCCCGGGAGGGATAACACCATGGCTGGTGGCGATGGAGCTGTGTCCGCTGCTCCCGATACGACCTCTGTTGATGGCATCAAAGTCAACGTCAACATTCGATGCTCCAATGGTTCCAAGTTTTCTGTTCTTGTTAACCTTGATTCTACCGTTGGATCCTTTAAATCCATTCTTGCCGAACAGAGCGAGGTTCCGCCCGATCAGCAGCGCCTCATTTACAAGGGTCGGATTTTGAAAGACGATCAAACCCTACAAAGCTACGGTGTGTTTCTATTGGATTAATTCTGTGTTTTCTGCATTCAATTCTGGATGCTTCACAAATCTGGCCTCTCTTTCTTTCTTTTTTTTTTCGCTTTCTTTCTGATTTTGTTGTTGTTTGCATTGATTTTTATTTTAAAAAATGTTCTCTGAATATCGGGATGCCAGGTTCTTGATGTATTGTTCGAAGTCCCTTCTTTCTCCTTCGTAATTGTTCGTATGATGTTCTTTCTGTTAGGGTTAGAGGCAGATCACACCGTCCATTTGGTTCGTGGATCGGCACCTGCTGCCCCGCCGACCAATCCTGCTTCTGCGCCCAATGCTGGCGGTCCGAACACTACTTCGAGTAACGCAAGAAGTGTTGGATCGAATGAAGGTGGAGCACTGGGGGGAGGACTTGGTTTGGAAGCTTCCCTATTTCCTGAACTTGGTTTCGATGGGCTTGGTGCCACTGGTGGCTTGTTTGGGGCTGGCCTTCCCGATTTCGAACAGGTGCAGCAGCAGCTGACCCGTGATCCAAACATAATGAGAGAAATAATGAACATGCCTGCCATACAAAACATCATGAATAATCCAGATATCATGAGGAATTTGATAATGAACAATCCTCAAATGCGTGAGATAATGGATCGTAATCCTGAGCTTGCACATATTCTCAATGATCCCAGTACTCTCCGGCAGACGCTTGAAACTGCAAGAAATCCCGAGCTTATGCGGGAGATGATGCGGAATACTGATAGAGCAATGAGCAACATTGAGTCTTCCCCTGAAGGTTTTAATATGCTTAGGCGCATGTATGAAACTGTTCAAGAGCCATTTCTAAATGCAACAACTATGTCTGGAAGTGCTGGAAATGATGGCTCGAACCCCTTCACCGCACTTTTGGGGACGGGTGGGACGGGTGGGGGTGTGACCAATAATGCAACATCCAATGTATCTACTACTACTAATGATACGACTAATGGTTCTCCTTCTCCAAATACAAACCCACTTCCAAACCCATGGTCCCCTGCTAGCAGTAAGCACTACTTTGTTTGGATTTAGTTTATATCATATTTCCAACACGTTTTTATTACTAGGAATTCAGTTATTGCCATTGTTCCACATGCTTGTGAGATTGCTGCTAATTTTTCTGACACTTTGCTAACTGCTTTAGAATCTAAGTTTCCCATGTATCAAATTTTCTTCCATATCTTAGTTCTAGAGCATGAAGGTATTTAACAGCAGTTATTCAGCAGCTGGCGGTACCCAAACTAACTCTACAAGGTCGAATCCCACTCCAAATGTTAGTGCTCAAGCTCCCACTGGTTTAGCTGGGCTTGGCCTTCCAAATCTTGAGGGCATGTTGGGTGCAACACCAGATGCCACTGGTTTGAATCAGTTGATGCAAAACCCAGCTATTTCACAGATGATGCAAAGTGTTATGTCAAACCCTCAATATGTGAACCAGGTACTCATTTGGTATTTCATTAGAATTTAAAGATGATGTGGATATTCTATGTTTTCTTACAATATCTCCCGTCAGATTCTTGGTCTCAACCCTCAATTGCGCGGCTTGCTAGATTCCAATCCTCAGCTCAGAGAGATGATGCAGAATCCTGAATTTCTACGTCAGTTGACGTCCCCCGAGACAATGCAGGTAAATGGAATAGATTCTTGTGACTGCCATTTCAACATCCTCTGTCTATTTATGTTCCCTCAATCCAACCTCATCCTTTGATTCCTATAACCTCAATATTCTGTACGTGGATTTTCTGATTTATTTTCTTTCTCCCGGGTCTTTTTGCAGCAAATGTTTACATTGCAGCAACAACTTCTGTCACAGCTTGGTCGCCAGCCCACCCTGTAAGTAATCTAGTAAAAAACCTCATGTGTAGATTGTTTAAGCAGCCTTGCCAGGACCTAGG